CTCTTCTCTCATACTGTCTTTTTTCTTTAATTTGATTAATAAAAAAAGACTACTCTTTTAGAGGTCACAAAGCAAGACGATACTCATTTTTTATTATTTGTTATGTATAACTTTTAAAATTAAATTTTAAAATTACTTTTTTTATGTTTATTATTTTGGTATATATTTTATTGTAAATTTATCGACTAAAGTTTTTTGACTCCATTAGCTGGAAATTCTAGCTATGCCCCTGCTTATATATAATATATTATATTAATTTTTTTATAATAATAATAACCAAAATTTTACTTTAGTGAACTACAAGTCTTTTCTTGTAGAACTTGCATGCTTGCTTTTAAGTAGAGTAATCTTTACTATTATTAAACAGTAAAGAGAAAGCATTCACAACAAAAATATTTTAACCATGGAAGACTGCATACTTTTACATTAATATATAATATTTATTTTAATAATATATGTTTTTTAAACCTTGACGTACGAAAAACTTTAAACTATCTACGAAAAACTTTAAATTATCTTATTAAGTGAACCCTTATTTCTCAAGAAGAAATTTAAAATAATATGGATTTTTTTTTAGCATTCAAACAAGAAATATTTGGTATAGAAATTGAAATGAAACATAAAGGGAATTTGTGGCTCCTTTTCCTAGTTATTCTAAAATTGTATGTCTTTAGGAAAACTATTTAATAAAAAATACAATTGTAAATAAAAATAGAATTCATGAGTCTTATTAGAAATTGAAATATCAATTCAAGGTTATGAGAGAATATGAGAACATATGCATGGGTAGAGTGTATTAAAAACTGAATTGTTTTCCACTCTAGGTATTAGGTTGAGCATGGTTAGAAATTAGGATTGTTTCTATTCTATTAATTATGTATCAGATTTATGGTATTGTATACTTTTGTATATCATATTTATAAAACTATATTAGATTTTTTTCATCCGTAGAAGTAGGCGGATTATGCCGAATTTATGTAAATATCATGTCTCTTTTTGTAGTGTGATTTTATTTTTATGTTACTAATCTCGAACGTATGTTTTTCACTGCGCATCTCGATTGTTTAAAGGATATAGATAACAAAAAAAATTACACAATTTTTATTATGTTTTGTTTTGTTTTGTTTAACATTTTAAACATTTAATATGTATGATTAATTAATTTGTGCTGAGAAAATGTAAAATACGTTTAATTTTACTTTGAATATTCTATAAAAAATTTTCTATATTGTTACTTGAATATTCAATAATTCCAATAAAATTGGTAAAAATTAAGATACAATATCCTAAAGTTCTTGATATTCTTTATATGTTTATAAATGTTTATATATATATATATATATAAAATATCCAAAAACCCATTTTAAAAATCATTCCTGAAAACAATTTAAGCATATTTTTTTTAATTAAATTTCTTATATTCATTGTTTTCAGATGCTAAACCAAACAATTTCTAGACTTTGTAAATTATACATACTAATTAAACATGATTAACTACTCACTTGTGGCTGGATGGATAGAAGGGTGCATGGTTGAAAACGTCATGCCCTTTGACTTGAGTCAAGGGTTGGTCAATTACCATACCTAAAAAAATAAAAAATAAACAAGATATTACATTAAATGCAAATTAAAATGGAATTTAGAAGATAGAATTTTATAATTTTATGCATATTGTAACTTGATTTTCTAGTATAATTGTTGAGTTTGCACGTGAAAATGGTTTGGTTAGTAGGTTGAGCTTAATTTTCATAGAAATTAATTATGGTAATCATGAGATTATTTGAAGTCAATTTAATATGATGAGCATTAACGAAGTGATTAAGAATTCTGATGCGACCACCCATAAGCTTTTTTTTATTTTTTTTTATTTTTTCTTGAAAGAATTAATTTGACCTAACTGATTAAACCAATACACAAATTCTAAATTGCCACGCATATATATTTGACGCCAAAGAGTTTCATAAATACTCCAAAGAGTTTGATAATTGAATTTCTTTTCTCATCCCAATTAATCATACTCCCTCACATTTTTATTTTTATTTATCTTTTAACTAAGATAATTAAGAGTATTGGAATAAAAATTAAGATTTTTATTTTTATTTTTTCATCATTTTTCTTATTAACCTCTAATCACAATCTCGCATCTATTTTCTGGTCTCTCATGGTATGAGTTTTCCTAAACTTTTAAACATCTTTTAACATATGTGATTGACTTAAGTTTTATTTTCTCGTGTTCTTTTTGTTAATATTTACCGATCACAACTTGAAAATTTTCAAAGATAAATTGAATAAAAAAACTATCTTTACATAAATTACACCCAGAATTGACAAATGTCATACCATATGAGAAAGATCTTTACATTTTTTGTTTCTTTTGTTTTATGGGGCCTTAAAATCTATAACATTTGATTGCTCATTCTCCCCATTTAAAAATTTTATGCCTTTATTACTTTTTTGGCATCCAACGAGGGGATGGTAATTGAAACAATGAAAAACAGCAATGATATAAGAGCACAGTTAGATTGCAAATAAATCTATAACATATGTCACAACCCAAGCAAAAGCTTTTAATAAAAAAATCTTTAATTTGATCTTGTCTCTCAAGAGATTATATATTATATCTTCAACGTTTCAACGATTTCAAAAAATTATCAAATACCATTTAATAAGAGCCTTTTTTTTTTTTTTTTTTTTTTTGGAAAGGTTTATTCGGTTAAAATTGCTGAAACACTTGAAACTTAACAATCTTTGAAGTGAATAGATAAAGTTAACTCTAAGAAATATTTATACATATGTTTTTGCCACGTTTTGTAGATAGATTTAATAAAATTATCAAATATAATATATGAATAAATAGATCTTTAAATCTTTTTGACCGGGGGCATGTTTGAACAATTCAAACACAAATTAATTATATAGTTGGCCATACCATTAATTATCAAATGCATTCATTTGATGAAGCTTTTTAAACTTTGCCAATGGCTTTTTGAAATGTGTAAATTTGGATACCCCATCGCCCCTTGAAATATCATTGAGTCTAGAAATAAGAAATGATTAATTGTGGGATCATGAATCACATAAATTATTATTGTTTTTATTAGCTTTTTTCTGTAATTTTTGCATTCTAGAAGGTAAGAACTTTGTCCCCCTGCCGCCATTGACTTCAACTCTTGGATACCCACATTTGAATAATTGAGGTTGAATTTTAGCGTTCTATAAGGTAAATTTGAGATCAATCGATCACTTTATTTAATAAGTTGATATATTTTATTTGAGTTCAAAACTCAAATATTTCCGTAAATGGTATTTGATTGTATCTACAAAGTCTTAAAACTTTGCAACAGCCAACAAGAATTTGAATTCTTTGAAGTTCTATAATATTCAAGTATTGTAGAGAGTTAGTGGCTCCATTTTAGGATATATCATACTCAAAATCTTGATTTTTTAGGCCTCGCTACCAACTTAATTTAGGGTTGTTGGCACCACTCTAGCTAAGGTGGCTAATAACATAAATGAAAACAAAAATTATGAATCTTTGGAAAGAAAATACATATAGATATTAGTATTATCGAGATATTGTTATTCTTAACCAAAATATCGTTACATGATGTATTAAATAAATATTATCCGATAATGTTATTGTATATGTAAACAATTAAATGAAAAATATATTAAAATGGTAATGTCCTTTTTTTGTCACTACTCTTACATGACAAAAATGCTTTTAAGATTTTATAAAATATATAATAAATTCCATATTCACTACATGATGGAGTCATTTCTACTTTTCCCTTTCTTTTATGAATCATATAAGTGTTCAATACTTTTAGCCTATCACTAATAAAGAAACTTGAAGATTTTTGGGGGTAATGGGTATGTGCCACGTGTGTACTATCCTCTCATTATTTCTTCATTATCTTACCATCTATCTTCCCATACACGTGTGGATCATCAATATGAGAGATAGATAATGTGAAGTGGAAGCAAAAATCTTGGCTTCGTTACTAAACAAACTCCCCCAATATTTCCCATTAATCTATTATCTTCTTCTTCTGGTTTATGTTACCACAGTCTAACATTGGTATTACATTTATGTCAATTGTATACACTACCCAATAAACCATTTTTAATAAGCGTGCATAGAGCATGCTTGTATTTTCATTGATTGATTCTATTATTGAGCAGCCTTCTGTAATGTAAATAGAACATATTTTAGACTGATCCTAAAACAGATTAACCTTCCGTATATCCTATTACAATATAGCTAGTTAATGAGAGTATTTTATGTTCTCGTAAACAAAACATGTTTTCTCATCAACTGATTGTATTACAATGGAATACATAATCATATTTTTTTAATAATGATCAGGGGTGTTTAAGTTAGTTTATGCGTATTTCAACTAATCTTTTGGACCCTGAAACTATCGGTCGGATAAGAGTTTCAGTGGCCACCCCTATTAGCAATCGTGGAAACTCAAACTTGAGAAACCATATTAGATTCTCTTCTTACTCTTTTACCATTAAAAAGACTAGAATTTAAGAGATCATAATCTTCAAACAACATGTTAAATACTCATTTGAACTTTTATCACACCAACCGATGGTTTAATTGTATTACATACTACATAAGTATTATAATAGAATACACAGAAATTCGTGTATTTTAAGATTACCTTGGGAGTGAAGACTAATTTCATGGCAAAAAGACAGATTTATCATGGAGTCAAAGACAAGAAGACTCTCTCCTTTTCTTTTCTTTCTTTCTCTCTCAAATGTCCCCATCCAAACCGTTGTCTACCCAGACTCATCACCCAACTTTTCTCTCTCTCTCTCTCTCTCTCTATTTCCTATATTCTAAGCAAACCCTACAACCATCACCATCATCATGATCTCATTTCCACTTCATGAAGCCTCCTCCCTTTCTCTCTTTCTCTTTCTCTATCTCTTTCTGTTATAAACTCTTTCACTCATCTACATCACACCAGTTGGGAGAACATTAAGAACTCCAAAATTTATTCACCAAAATGAGGAAGCCTTCAGACACTTCACCAATGAAGACTACTTCCAACAATGTTTTGGACAGTAATGGTGGTGGTGGTGGTGCTGCCTCAGCCGGTGGCAGTAAGCTGAGGAAGGGCTTGTGGTCTCCCGAGGAAGACGACAAGCTGATGAGCTACATGCTCAACAATGGCCAGGGTTGTTGGAGTGATGTTGCTAGAAATGCTGGTTTGCAGAGATGTGGAAAGAGTTGCAGACTTCGTTGGATCAATTACTTGAGACCTGACCTCAAACGAGGTGCCTTTTCTCCTCAAGAAGAAGAGCTTATTATTCATCTGCATTCTCTTCTTGGCAACAGGTATTCTTCCTTCTTCCTTCTTCCTTCCTTCTTCCCTCCCTCGCTTTTCGTTGTGTCATCGTCTACATGATTGGTCTGTTTGCGATCTGTTGTTAATCGAAAGCTGTAAAATTTTGTCTTTTATTATTTATTGGTGTTAAGAGACAGGAGTCTGGATTTTGAAAAAGATCTCCTCTCGTTTTTATCATCTTCATCTACATGATTAATTTGCACTCTCTTGTTTATTGAAAACTATAAAATTTTGTCTTTTAATATTTATCCATATTAATAGGCATGAGCCTGGATTTTGGAAAAATAAGGACACCTGTATCTAAGAATTCTTCATTAGCACGATGAGATTACCAATTTGTTTATCTTAACCCCAAAAAGTGGAGACTTACTGTAATGTTTCGTGAGATGTTTCACGAAAAACTAACAATTAATGGTAGGTTAATATTGTCAAGTTTTCTCGTATTGAAAACAGTAAAAAATTTGTCTTTTAATATTATATGTAGTTAACTGATATAATATAATTAACCAATAGAAAAAGAAAACAAAAATGTTATGTGTTTAAAAATTCTTAATTTTAACTATTTGTCTGTCTTTTAACCCTAAAAGTAGAGACTTACCATGTTCAATATGACTTTTTGAAGATAACATAATTTGGTAGGACAATAATGGTAGATTTTAGTAAGGCTAATGCATGCTTATTAGTGGAGAAATGGTCTCATTTTTACTCAATGAGATGAGCACTTTTTGTCTCTAACCCTTTTCCACAAAGTGTCTCTAAGGCTTTGATGTTGAGTAAGAAATTATAGAACTAAAGGAATAAAAAGTAAAGAGTACATTTTAATTTTGTTGTTTTGCCTTTATCATCGATTGCCCCATATGAAGGCTAATTTAATACAAACAAAATAATAGTAATAATAAGAATAATAACAAATACGATAACTAATTAAGACAAATACTATCTCTATATATAGATTATGAAATCAATTCATGTGTTATAACTAGGCCGGACCACCACGCGGCGGCGGGGCAACAACCAAAAAAAAAAAAAAAAAAAATAATAATAATAATAAAAAAAATTGAATATAGTGATTTTTACTCTTGATCTTCCCTTGGAGTTGAAGACACTCTACTAGATTAATTAATTCTCCATTTTGTATCATGATTTTTGATTGATAATTAGATTCCATATAGACTTGCATGCATGGACTTTGATTGAATAATTGATTTATTTATTTATTTTAAGGTGATTGAGACTGACTGATGTTCTTAATGTTGATTTTTTTTTGGGAATCAAAATCAATTAAGGTGGTCTCAAATTGCGGCTCGTTTGCCTGGGCGTACAGACAATGAAATAAAGAATTTTTGGAATTCAACAATCAAGAAAAGGCTTAAGAATTTATCTTCGTCTTCTTCAACAACAACGACAGCACTCTCTCCCAATAGTGCCAGTGATAATTCTTCACCAAATATGGCTAATGGATTCATGTCCATGCATAAACATCAACATCATCAACAAGGTATGAACATAGCCGCCATGTACATGATGGATGCATCATCGTCGTCATCGACGTCATCATACATGATGGATGCATTGCCTCATAATAATCAAGGGGTGCTCAACATGTTTGGAAATAATTCAAGAGGGAATTGGAATCATCATCATCATCAGCAGGAGATGTATGTGCCTCCACTGATGGAGAGTATAGGCAGCATGGAGGAGAATGTTAATGTGAAGATTGAGAATAATCATAATAATTCATATGAGCATGAGAATAATAATGGTTTAATTAACAACATGAATAATAAAATAATAATAATAAAGGAGAGAATTTACGGGGTTGGGAGCTTTTGGCAAGGATCATCAGAAGAGATCAAATTTGGAGAATGGGACTTGGAGGATTGATGAAAGATGTTTCATCTTTCCTAGTAATTTTTTGGATATATTCTAGTTGATATATAATATCGATAAACTGTCTTTTCATTCCCTCATTTTTTTTTTTTTTTAAATCCTTCTAAAAAATTTGATCATACCCATCTTAATATTTTCTTTTCTTCTTCACCCACCAACCCCACCCCCCCCCCCCCCCCCCCCCCTCTTCTTTTTTTAAAAAAAAAAAAAAACAACAAAATACCCTTCAAACTTATAGCTTTTGGTTTGGGTTTGAAATTAATGTGTTGATCTTTGAATTACTCTTTGTTATAGATAGAAGTGGAAATTAGAGTCAGGAATAAGGTTGAAATAGAGGATTATTGAACGGGAATTTATTGTATTTTATTTTATATGATGTAATTAAGTAGAATCTCATGTGAATTGCCATGAGAGCATATATATATATATATACTTTGTGATAGTTGTAAGTTAGTTGTTATGTATCAAAATTATTGTAGTAAGTAAATATACATGATATATATATATATATATATATAATGAGTGTACAAATTAAGAAATTTGTTGTGGAGATTATTGAAAGTGGTCATTACATTAGTGGAGATAATTGGTTGTATTACATGATGAGAAATAGAAATCTCTCTCTCACTCATTCCCTTTGTGACAATCAAGCTTCTTCTTCTTCGTGACAATGAAGAAATAGAATCATAATAATCAATCCCAAATCTTTTTGTCTCTCCTATGTGTACAAAATATTCTTTTTGAATTGGGGTAGTTCAATCTACATTCATCGATAGTGTATGTGTATCATTGAGTAGAGATTATTAATGGACTACCATTAATCAAGTTAAGCATGCATACTTTGATTATTTTTACGACAAAGACTATATATTATTCATTGTTTCTTCAAATGGGGTTTAATTATATGTATAAATCTCATTAGTTAGTTAAGATGTCCATTTCAAATAAAAATCAATTAGGGTTTGAGAGCAATCAGTGAAATTTGGGTTTGATTGTCATTCGAATTATTAGTTAGTTAGGCTTAATGGTTGAATTTAAAAGAGTAATTATGCTCTATTTCACCTTTAATTACACTAGAAAATGAATGTTTATTGGTCATAAAAACATTTCCATTAACAAGTAATTAATAACTTGTGCAAGAAGTGAATACAAAAGTAAGTTATAATTATCATGATCATGAAAAAACAAAAGGTGCTCACCAATTTCACTTGAGACATAATAAGAAGAAATTAATATCCATTGCATTATGCCACTCTAAATCATTTCTTCTAGATTATAAAATTAAACCTAAACCCACCATGGGTAGCCCAATCGTAAAGGCAAACCGAGGGGGCTACAAATGGTCCACCATTGTCTTAGGTTCGATTCCTGTGGCGTAAAGGTAATACATTTGCCCATGATTTACCTAAGGGCCATGGCATGAGTTGTGTGGAATAGCTCCCCCTGAGATAAATCGAGGTGTGTAAGCTAGTTGAAGACTTCTTATTTTAAAAAAAAAAAATACACCTAAGACACATGTTTTTCCATACAAATAATAATATTATGTATATACTTAAATTAGTGACAATACAGGAGACATAATATTCTCTTTGACATTTTATTTTTAATTGTAAATATATTAAAAGACAAATTTTTTTTTTCCTTATGTAAGAGATTGACTAAGTTTTGTATTAATGTTGCCGTCAAGAATAGACGTTTGGATTTTAAAAAGATCAGATACGAAATAAATGAAAGATTAGGACATCCAATATAGAAATTTGACATTCAATTTTTCTTTCTCAAAATTCCTCTTTAGGTGATGTTTAATTAGGGGTTGGTGTTGAGTTATGAAGTTTACTTCATCTTCAAGAATCGTTATTAAAAAGTGACATATAAGTTGAGATATTGAAGAAAGTTGGTAGCAGAATCTAGCCTACATCTAAAGTTGAATTTTTGTCATTCATATATGGCTAATTCATTTGGCTTCTGAATTATTATTATTATTATTATTATTTGGTATATGAGATATCCAGGCCCACATTGGAGCCTGCCTATTTCTCAGGTCTATAAAACACCCTATAAGTCCAATTGACCAAAATAATTGCACAAATGTGATAAGTACCCCTCATGCGACTCAAACACAAGACCCATTAGGTAGAAATACTTCACATATAAATAATTGATTAATGTTATGGGAGAATACTAAATAATGTACTTTCTTTTGGTAGATAATACTAGGGTGCGTTTGGTTAAGAGAATATTGTATTACTGAGAATGTTATATTAATGGAAAGATGCCTTGAAGATTACTAAGAATGTTTAGGGAAATATGTTTGTTTAGGTTGAAATAAATTGGTGGATATGTTATATAGATTACTAAATTGACCTTCTTTTTAAATATTAATATGATAATATTTGTATTATTATTTTTTGAATCATTTTATTTAACCCCTTACATTTGAAATTTTACTAAAATACCCCAGCTTATATAAAACTTTAATTTGTAAAAAAATCACCCCCACCGACCCTAAGCCATTGCCGACTGCCAGCCATTATTGTCGATAGTGGTAGGAGTGGTGCACGACTGGTCAGATCTGGTCGTCGTGCGCCGATCTAGCCGTGGATCTGGTCTTTAATGGCCAGGTTTGTGGCTGTTATGCACCATGGATCTAGCGGCTAATGGATAGATCTATTCCTGCATCCATGACCATGGATTTGGCTGTTTCTAGCCATATCTATAGCCGTTTGGCCGTTTTCGGCATCAATATGGCTAGAAATAGCCAGATCGGCTCACGACCGACTAGATCCGATCTGTCGTGCGCCGTTCTGGCAACTGGCTAGGGGACGACGATGGTCTTGGGTGGCTTGCAATTTTTTTTTTTAATATGAGGGCATTATTGTCCAAAAATTTAATTAATTAGTGGTAAAATTGTAATGGAAGATTCAAGTAAATTAATTTCAAAATAAGAGCATTATTGTCCAAAAATTTTATTAACAAGGGTGTGTTTAGATTAGGGGCATATAAGATAACGGGGGTAATCTTCGTTTATTTTACAAGATTTTAGTGTTTGATTTGCAAGTAATAAAATATTACAGGTATCTTTTATTACAAATAGTGTTTACTGTTGGTAATATAGGGTGTGATCCAGTACCCTCTCCCAGGGTTGTTATTAAAAGATTACTAGGTAATAATTTTTCCCTTAATTAAATACCACTTCAGACACAATTGCCCTCAAATATTTACCAAATAACCATTACCCAGCCCCCCTTATTTTTGAGAATTTAGCTAAAACTAGCCCGGTTTGGGTTTGAAATTAATGTGTTGATCTTTTGAATTACTTCTTTGTTAATAGATTAGAAGTGGAAATTAAGAGTCATGGAATAAGGTTGAAGTATAGAGGATTATTGAACGTGGAATTTATGTATTTTTATTTTATATGATGTAATTAAGTAGACATCTCATGTGAATAATTGCCATTGAGAGCATATATATATATATATACTTTGTGAATAGTTGTAAGTTAGTTGTTATGTATACAAAATTATTGTAGTAAGTAAATATACATGATATATATATATAATGAGATGTACAAATTAAGAAATTTGTATGTGGAGATTATTGAAAGTGGTCATTACATTAGTGGAGATAATTAGGTTGTATTACATGATGAAGAAATAGAAATCTCTCTCTCACTCATTCCCTTTGTGACAATCAAGCTTCTTCTTCTTCGTGACAATGAAGAAATAGAATCATAATAATCAATCCCAAATCTTTTTGTCTCTCCTATGTGTACAAATCATATTCTTTTTGAATTGGGGTAGTTCAATCTACATTCATCGATAGTGTATGTGTATCATTGAGTAGAGATTATTAATGGACTATCCATTAATCAAGTTAAGCATGCATAACTTTTGATTATTTTTACGACAAAGACTATATATTATTCATTGTTTCTTCAAATGGGGTTTAATATATATGTAAATATCTCATTAGTTAGTTAAGATGTCCATTTCAAATAAAAATCAATTAGGGTTTGAGGAGCAATCAGTGAAATTTGGGTTTGATTGTCATTGAATTATTAGTTAGTTAGGCTTAATGGTTGAATTCTTAAAAGAGTAATTATGACTCTTATTTCACCTTTAATTACACTAGAAAATGAATGTTTATTGGTCATAAAAACATTTCCATTAACAAGTTAATTAATAACTTGTGCAAGAAGTGAATACAAAAGTAAGCTTATAAATTATCATGATCATGAAAAACACAACAAGGTGCTCACCAATTTTCACTTGAATGACATATATAAGAAGAAATTAATATCCATTGCATTATGCCACTCTAAATCATTTCCTTCTAGATTATAAAATTAAACCTAAACCCACACATGGGTAGCCCAATCGTAAAGGCAAACCGAGGGGGCTACAAATGGTCCAATCCATTGTCTTAGGTTCGATTACCTTGTTGAGCGTAAAGGTAATACATTTGCCCATGATTTACCTAAGGGCTCATGGCGATGAGTTGTTGTGGAATAGCTCCCCCTGAGGATAAATCGAGACGTGTGTAAGCTAGTTTGAAGACTTCGGTTATTTTAAAAAAAAAAAAAAAATACACCTAATGACACATGTTTTTCCATACAAATTAATAATATTATGTATATACTTAAATTAGTGACAATACTAGGAGACATAATATTCTCTTTGACATTTTTATTTTTTTAATTGTAAATATATTAAAAGACAAATTTTTTTTTTTGTTCCTTCTTATGTAAGAGAATTGACTAAGTTCTTGTATTAATGTTGCCGTCAAGAATAGACGTTTGGATTTTAAAAAGATCAGATAAGAAATAAATGAAAGATTAGGACATCCAATATAGAAATTTGACATTCAATTTTTCTTTCTCAAAATTCCTCTTTAGGTGATGTTTAATTAGGGGTTGGTGTTGAGTTATGAAGTTTACTTCATCTTCAAGAATCGTTATTAAAAAGTGACATATAAGTTGAGATATTGAAGAAAGTTGGTAGCAGAATCTAGCCTACATCTAAAGTTGAATTTTTGTCATTCATATATGGCTAATTCATTTGGCTTCTGAATTATTATTATTATTATTATTATTTGGTATATGAGATATCCAGGCCCACATTGGAGCCTGCCTATTTCTCAGGTCTATAAAACACCCTATAAGTCCAATTGACCAAAATAATTGCACAAATGTGATAAGTACCCCTCATGCGACTCAAACACAAGACCCATTAGATAGAAATACTTCACATATAAATAATTGATTAATGTTATGGGAGAATACTAAATAATGTACTTTCTTTTGGTAGATAATACTAGGGTGCGTTTGGTTAAGAGAATATTGTATTACTGAGAATGTTATATTAATGGAAAGATACCTTGAAGATTATTGGGAATGTTTAGGGAAATGTGTTTGGTTAGGTTGGAATAAATTGGTCGATATGTTATATAGATTACTAAATTGACCTTCTTTTAAAATATTAATATAATAATATTTTTATTATTATTTTTTCCATTTAACCCCTTACATTTGAAATTTTGCTAAAACACCCCAGCTTATATAAAACTTTAATTTGTAAAAAAATCATCCTCACCCACCCCAAGTCATTGCCGATAGCCAGCCATCATTGCTGACAGTGGCAGGAATGGTGCACGATTAGTCGGATCTAACCGTCGTGCACCGATCTAGCCATGGATGTGGTCGTTAACAGCTAGGTTTGTTGCTGTTATGCACCATGGATCTAGCCAGATCGGCGCACGACCGGCTAGATTTGATCCATCGTGCGCTGTTCTGGCAATTGCCGGTGGTGGTGGCTGACAGACGACAATGGTCTTGGGTGGCCTGCAATTTTTTTTTTTTTAAATATAATGACATTATTGTCCAAAAACTTAATTAATTAGGGTAAAATTATAATGGAAGATTCAAGTAAATTAATTTCAAAATAAGGCATTATTGTCCAAAAATTTTATTAACAAGGGTATGTTTGGATCGGGGGCATATAAGATAATGGGGGAAATCTTCGTTTATTTTGCAAGATTTCAGTGTTTGATTTGCAAGTAATAAAGTATTATAGGTATCTTTTATTATAAATAATGTTTACTGTTGGTAATGTAGATGGTGATCCAGTACCCTCCCCCAAGGCTGTTATTAATAGATTACAGGTAATATGATTTTTATACCTATTTTTCCTTTAATTAAATACCACTTTAGACACAATTGTCCTCAAATATTTACCAAATAACCATTACACAGCCCCCTATATTTGAGAATTTAGCTAGAACACCCCAGCCACAAAAAAATTTAAAAGTTAATAAAATACTCTCATCCACCCAAGACCACTGTCGGCCATCTGTATCAGTCGTTGTAATGGCACATGACTAGTGAGATCTGGCCGGTCATGCGCTGATAAGGCATTTTTTGGGAAATAGCCAGATCTGGCTGTTTCTATGGTCGTAAAATGGCCATAGATCTGGCTGTGAAACGGCCATGAATTTGTGATCCATGGTCGGAAATGGCTTTGCTAGCACACGACTGGCCATATACGGTTAGTCGTGTGCCATTCTGTTGACTACCGGCGGCGACCGACGGTGATGGTTGGCTATCGACAGTGGCTTGGAATGGGTGGTAAGGCTGTAAACGAGCCGAGCTGAGTCAAGTTTTTGACTTATCGAGCTCAGCTCGTTTGCTACAGGATCGAGCTCGAGCTCTCGAGCCTGTGGAGTCATGGAAAAGGGACTTAAACTCAAGCTTAATTGAGTTCAAGTCGAGTTCGAGCCGACTCGACTTCATCTTCATCATCTGCATCTTTATCTCCATCATCTTTATCTTCATCCTTTTCTTCGTCTTTATCTCCATCATCTTCATCTTCATCTTCGTCTTCGTCTTCATCTCATCTTCGTCTTCGTCTTGTAGAGCATTACGAGTTATGCTGCTACCATCTCTATCTTCTTCATCTTCATCATTTTCTTCGTCTTTATCTCCATCATCTTCATCTTCATCTTTGTCTTCATCTCATCTTCATATTCATCTTGCAGAGCATTACGAGTTACGCTGCTACCATATCTTCTTGAGCCACCTCAGGCTCGCAAAGCCTACAAGTCAAGCCTCCCCATGTTCGAACTTGGCTCATTTTATATAACGAGCTTGAGTCGAGTTGACTCGGGTAACTATGAGCCAAGTCATAAACGAGCTTCAGATCGGCTTGCGAGCCGTTCGACTCGTCTAACATCCCTAGTGGATAGGGGTGATTTTACTACAAATTAAAGTTTTATATGGCTAAGGTGTTTTAGCAAAATTTCAAATGTAGGGTGTTAAAAGAAATGATTCAAAAAATAACAATTAAAAATAATATTATATCAATATTTAAAAAGGAGTGCAATTTAGTAATCTATATAACATACTTATCCATTTATCCTCCCAACCAAACATATTACTCACCAATTTATTTGAACCAGACAAATACATTTCCTAAACAATCCCAATAATCTTCAAGGTGATATATATTTTCATCAATATAACATCTTCTATAATAAAACATTATATGATCTAAATGCCTGCTAAAGGGATAAAATTGTAAAAAAAAAAAAAATAAGATTACCAAGTAATTTTAAAATGTCTAAGAAAATGGAGGTAATCAGATTACCTCTTATATAACCAACAATAATACTATTGGTTTTGGAAGGTTATCAGAATCTTATATTACTTGACAACCAAACGTGATAATCTAAGTAATATAAGATGACATTACCTCAGTAATAGGGGATTACCCCCAACCAAACACACCTTAAGAGTTTTCTGAATGTGTAACTAAAAACTTGTAAAAAANATTGGGGTGTTTTTGTAATTTAAAAAAAATATTTAGAGGTATTTAATTAAATTATCAAATTTAAGGGGTTTAAAAAAAGTTGAATAATTTTGGGAGTAGTATTCCCAAAAATCTGAATTTTTGGGTATTTTACTGTTTAACTTTTTTGGGAATACTAAAAGTAGTATTCCCAAATGTGAAACAAACGCAGCCTTAATATTTACCGATTTCTCGAAAACATATATATTTAACCCTCTCAAGTGCCTCAACGATTTTTGAAAACTATTTATTAAATCGACTGCAATATTTCTCTATTCATGAGGATTCCACTAGAATACCTTTTATTCTTAATAGGACATGAACTAAATCAGAATCATTATTAACAAGTCCAAATGAAATGATCCCCATTCTTTCATGGGGCTCTAGTGGAGACCAAAGGTCCTAAGCAAGCAAATTACACCTACCTCTATTTTCCAAGGCCAAAGTAAGCTCAAAACAAACCTACATAAAGTTTGTGAATGTAGTCCATTTGATCAAATAATTTCAAGAAACTCTTTACTTAGATGTCACTAAAGCCTCACAAATCTACCCTCACCATCAAACAAATAAACCAAATCCATGCCCGAATCATCAAAACTCTACAACCCCAAATCTTAAACCCGTTTCTAAAACTCTTAGCAAATTCATCCACTCCACAAAACGCATTTCTACTTTACAATAAAATGCTCCACTACCCTTCTTCCCATAACCACTACACTTTCACTCATGCTCTAAATGCATGCTTCTTGGCCCAAAATTCCCCCCAAAAAGGCCTTGAAATCCATGCCCATGTCATCAAACATGGGCACTTGCATGATGTTTTCATCCAAAATGCATTGCTCCACTTTTATGTAACTCAACATGATGTTTTCTCAGCCCACAAAGTCTTTGATTCTATAAATTACCCTGATGTTGTTTCCTGGAGTAGTTTGATTTCTGGGTTTTGTAAACGTGGTTTCTTTAATAAGGCTATTGATTTGTTTGTTGATATGAATGTTAGACCTAATTGTGTTACTCTTGTTAGTGTTTTATCTGCATGTTGTGGTTTACGGTCTTTGAAATTGGGGAAAGCTGTTCATGGATATAGCTTGAGAAATGTGGATGGATTTAACATTGTTTTGGGGAATGCAATGTGGATTTTTATGTGAGATGTGGATCAATTTTGGCTGCAGAGTATCTGTTTGTGAAAATGCCTGAGAGAGATGTTGTTTCTTGGAGTATTTTGATTGGTGGGTATGCACAAAGAGGGTTTTGTGAAGATGCCATAAGGGTTTTTAAAGAAATGGTGAAAACTAAAGAAGCTGAGCCTAATGAGGCCACAATTGTGAATGCATTATCAGCATGTTCATTGATTAGTTCTTTGAGTTTGGGCCAAGTAGTGCATGACTACATCAACAATAGAGCTGACCTTTTGGTGAGCAATGTTGTGATGAATTCTTTGTCCAATATGTATGTCAAATGTGGAGAAATTCGCACAGCAATTCAGGTCTTTAATAAGGTTAAGTACAAAGATGCCATCTCATGGACCACTATTATTAATGGCTTGGCCTTGAATGGTCTTGGCAAACAAGCTTTGCAACTCTTCTCTTTAATGCATGTCAATGGGGTCCCTCCTGATGATGTAACTTTCATTGGAGTTTTATCTGCATGTAGCCACGGAGGTCTTGTGGCTAAAGGGGTGATGGTTTTCGAGGCCATGTGGAGAGTTCACAGAATTGTGCCAAAAATGGAGCATTGTGCATGCATGGTTGACATGTATGGGAGAGCAGGGCTTGTGGAGGAAGCTGAGGCTTTTATTAGGGAGATGTGTATGGATGGAGAGGATAGGGAAGAGGGATTCATGTGGGGGGCTTTGTTGAATGCTTGTAGAAATCATGGAAACGGGGAGATGTTTGAAAGGATTAAGCAAAAGATTGTTGGGAATGTGAGAGGAGTTAGTGTTGGAACTTTTGCATTGTTGTCAAACACTTATGTGGGTTTTGATAGGTGGGATGAGGCTAATAAGGTTAGAGATGAGATGAGATTCATGGGATTGAAGAAGAAGGCTGGTTGTAGTTGGATTGAAGTGAATCAATCAATCTCTTGAAAAACCAATCATATATCATTCTTAAAGGATCTCGAAATTATTACTCGGACTGTAGTAACCATCTTTACCCATCCCTAACACCAATCTAACTAGAATGTAAGGCAAAAGGGTATCAGTAATACAATTTTCAATCTTCAAAAAAGTCCATTCGATAAAAAAAAAAAAATGCGAAAATCATCATTTAGACGATAATTTTGGGGAACTCGTTGAATAAACTATTTTTTCTTTTCAAACTAATGTAATATTTCACGTATTCTGATTTGTGTAATTAGATTTTTTTCTTTGTTTGATTATAGATTTGTTGAATAATATTATATCTTAGAAAAGTGTTTCATGTGTTGCCAATATGTAAGGTGGTTCGTGAGAACGTTACGATCACAATTTCGTAAGAAAACCATACAAAGTCATTTGTATATCATTCAATAAATGATACAATCTTTTTTTGATCTAATTATCACTATATCTACTAATTTTTTCACTAAAAATTTAACATTTATTTTGAATTTGAATCAAATTAATCTCACAAATTGAATCAAACTTTAATCTCAAATTTTAGGAATCTAAAATATTTTATTTAAAAAAAAAAAAAAACTGTCAAAACCAGAACTTTGTTAATTTTGCAAAAGCACCCTCGTCTATAATATCAAAGACAACATACGGTTGTTCGTTATAAACCAAACCTCCTGAGTTGAGTTGAGTTTCAGTTTCACCTTCTCTTATCCTTGTACTCTTTCTCACAAATGCTAAAGCTGAGACCCACGTCTTCTCTTCCTCTTTCTCACTTCAAACCCTTCATCTTTTCTCTATTTTCTCCAAAAACGAGAACCCTTTTCCCCTCTAAAACCTCAACACTCTTTCTTAAACCCATTTCATTCTCTCTTTCAACATCTGCAGTTTTACCACAATTACAAACACAACAGAATAACTCTAATGTCAGCCTTGAAGCCCACCATCTCTCTTGCTGTATGCCCCACCAAAAAGGCCTTAAAATTGCTGTTCTTGTAAGTGGGGGTGTTGATAGCAGTGTTGCTCTCAGGCTTCTTCATGCTGCTGGCCACTCCTGCACTGCGTTTTACCTCAAAATTTGGTTTCAAGTATGCTTCTTTTAATTCTATTTTAATGTGTATTTATAGAGATTTTGTAGCTGTATCGGGAAAGTGAGATTTTTTCCCCATGTTTTTTGGAGAGTAATTTTGTGGGGGGATTTGTTTTGTGTTTTGTGCTTTATCTCAGTTTGGAAATATGAATGCTTTGTGTAGTTCAGCTAAAATTGGCACGTTAATATTGAAAATTTGTGTTCCTCTTAAGTTGTGGCTATGATTTTTCGTAATATGGAGGAGGGTCAATTTGGTTAAAAATTGATTAGGTTAGAGAGGAGATGGGTTGTTTTAGGTTCTATGTAGTTTTATTTTGGTGCTTAGTGTGTTAATTGTTTGAATTTCTGTGTGGTTTACAGCTTCTGGTTCTTCCATGTCCATGGTAAAGAAGATGAATCTTATTCTGAATTGTTTGAATTTTTTTTGGTGGCACTTCCTGTGATAGATGTGAGAAATGGATGGATAAGAGAACATTCCGTTTGCATATTTGCGGGGACCATGTGCGTCATTAGTCTGTTTGATCAAATTAATAAAGTTAATGCTCTCGACTCCGGTGCATTATCCTTCCAACCAAACAATATTACTCGCCAATTTATTGAACCAACCAAATAATTTTCTAAACAATCCTAGTAATTTTCAAGGTGATAATCTTTCCATTAATTAAAATCATTTACAATAAAACATTATATGATCCAAACCCCTTTAAAGGGATAAAATTGTAAAAAAATAAGAATATTTAATCTTAAAATACTTAAGAAAATTGAGGTAATCAGATTACCTCTATATAACCAATAATAATACTATTGGTTTTGGAAGGTTACGGATCTTATATTACTTGACAATTAAACGTGATAATTAAGTAATATAAAATAACATTACCTCAGTAATTGGGGATTAACCCCAACCAAACACACCCTAAGAGTTTCTGAATGTGTAACTAAAAACTTGTATTAAAAAAAAAATATATATTAAAAGATATAACCACTAACTACATGTGAAATAGTAGAACGTAGAAGTGATGCAGTCTTAAGTACACCTTAATTTTCTCCATTTCCGACACACTGAAAGCAAAGCATTTTCTTCAAATTTAAACCTTGCACAGGGGTCCTAGAACCTCCATCATCTTGAAAAAAACCATTAAAAGTTGCTTGTTATCATGAACTATAAAGGATAAATTCATCTCAAACGTTTGATGATTTTAGAAGCTAAATCCGATTAAGAAAAATGAAAACCCATTTGCAATATAATATAAAAGAAAAAAATTTCCCCAAATATATGAAGCTTAATATTTTCTAAAATTCCTTAAGACACTTAGGCTGCGTTTGGTTCAAAATTTGGGGGTTTTGGGAAAAGTTTTTTGAAAAAAGTTAAAAAAAAGTTGAATTGGGCGGGTATTACGAGGTAAAATTATAAATTAATAAAATCTCCTTTATGTTTGTTTTTTTACAAAATACCCTATAATAAAACATTAAAAGTTAACAAAAATACCCCTAACCCCCCTCAAACACCCAGCCGGCGACCACCACCGGAGGTGGCCGGAGTCAGCCGTATGGGCGCATGAGACGGTGGATCTTGCCGGTCATGCGTCGCTATGGCCTTTTAGGCCAGATCTACGGTCAGATCTGGCCGTCAACGGCAGATCTGGCCGTATTTGCTCTCAACGACGGCCAACAAACGGTCGTCGTTGATGGTCAACGACGACGTTTGTTGGCCGTCGTGACCGAGTGTACGGCCAAAGATCTGGCCGGAAAAAGGCTAGATCGGTGCACTGCGGCCAGATTCAGTCGGTAGTGCACCATTCTACCAGATTCCGGCCATTTTCGGTGGTGGTGGCCAGAATCTGGTAAATGTGGAGTATTGGGGGTTTTTGTAATTTAAAAAAAATATTAGAGGTATTTAATTAAATTATCAAATTTAAGGGGTTTAAAAAAGTTGAATAATTTTGGGAGTAGTATTCCCAAAAATCTGAATTTTTGGGTATTTACTGTTTAACTTTTTTGGGAATACTAAAAGTAGTATCCCAAATGTGAAACAAACGCAGCCTTAATATTTACCGATTTCTCGAAAACATATATATTTAACCCTCTCAAGGCCTCAAACGTTTTTGAAAAACTATTTATTAAATCGACTGCAATATTTCTCTATTCATGAGGTCCACTAGAATACCTTTATTCTTAATAGGACATGAACTAAATCAGAATCATTATTAACGAGTTGAAATGAAATGATCCCCACTTTTTCATGGGGCTCTAGTGGAGACCAAAGGTTCTAAGCAAGCAAATTACAACAACCTCTATTTTCCAAGGCCAAAGTAAGCTCAAAACAAACCTACATAAAGTTTGTGAATGTAGTCCATTTGATCAAATAATTCAAGAAACTCTTTACTTAGATGTCATAAAGCCTCACAAATCTACCCTCAGCATCAAAAAAATAAACCAATCCATGCCAAATAATCAAAACTCTACAACCCAAATTTAAATCCATTTCTAAAACTCTAGCAAATTCATCCACTCCACAAAATGCATTTCTACTTTACAATAAAATGCTCCACTACCCTTCTTCCCATAACCACTACACTTTCACTCATGCTCTAAATGCATGCTCGGCCCAAAATTCCCCAAAAAGGCCTTGAAATCCATGCCCATGTCATCAAACATGGGCACTTGCATGAGTTTTCATCCAAAATGCATTGCTCCACTTTTATGTAACTCACATGATGTTTTCTCAGCCACAAGTCTTTGATTCTATAAATTACCCTGATGTGTTTCCTGGAGTAGTTTGATTTCTGGGTTTTGAAACGTGGTTTCTTTAATAAGGCTATTGATTTGTTTTTGATATGAATGTTAGACCAATTGTGTACTCTTGTTAGTGTTTTATACTGCATGTTGTGGTTACGGTCTTTGACATTGGGGAAAGCTGTTCATGGATATAGCTTGAGAAATGTGGATGGATTTAACATTGTTTTGGGGAATGCAATGTGGATTTTTATGTGAGATGTGGATCAATTTTGGGCAGAGTATCTGTTTGTGAAAATGCCTGAGAGAGATGTTGTTTCTTGGAGTTTTTGATTGGTGGGTATGCACAAAGAGGAGATAGAAATACTTCACATATAAATAATTGATTAATGTTATGGGAGAATACTAAATAATGTACTTTCTTTTGGTAGATAATACTAGGGTGCCTTTGGTTCAGAGAATATTGTATTACTGAGAATGTTATATAAATGGAAAGATATCTTGAAGATTATTGAGAATGTTTAGGGAAATGTGTTTGGTTAGGTTGGAATAAATTGGTTGGTATGTTATATAGATTACTAAATTGACCTTCTTTTTAAATATTAATATAATAATATTTTTATTATTATTTTTTGAATCATTCATTTAACCCCTTACATTTGAAATTTTGCTAAAACACCCCAGCTTATATAAAACTTTAATTTGTAAAAAAATCACCCCCACCCACACCAAGCCATTGCCGACTGCCAGCCATCATTGCTGATAGTGGCAGGAACGGTGCACGACTGATTAGATCTGGTCGTCATACGCCGATCTAGCCATGGATCTGGTCATTAATGGCTGTTATGCACCATGGATCTAGCTGCTAACGGACAAATCTATTCCTACATCCACAACCATGGATTTGGCCGTTTCTGACCATCAATATGGCTGGAAATAGCCAGATCGGAGCACGACCGGCTAGATCCGATCCATCATGTGCTGTTTTGGCAACTGCTGGCAGTGGTGGTTGGCGAACGACGGTGGTCTTGGGTGGCTTGCAATTTTTTTTAAATATAAGGGCATTATTATCCAAAAACTTAATTAATTAGGGGTAAAATTGTAATGGAAGATTCAAGTAAATTAATTTCAAAATAAAGGGCATTATTGTCCAAAAATTTTATTAACAAGGGTGCGTTTGGATCGGGGGCATATAAGATAATGGGGGTAATCTTAATTTATTTTGCAAGATTTCAGTGTTTGAATTGCAAGTAATAAAATATTACATGTATCTTTTATTACAAATAGTATTTACTGTTGATAATGTAGGGGGTGATCCAGTACCCTCCCCTTGGGCTGTTATTAAAAGATTACGTGGTAATAATTTTTCCCTTAATTAAATATCACTTCAGACACAATTGCCCTCAAATGTTTACCAAATAACCATTACCTAGCCCCTCTATATTTAAGAATTTAGCTAAAACACTACAACCACAAAAAAGTTTAAAAGTGAACAAAATACCCCCATCCACCCAAGACCATCGTCGGCCGTCTGCGCCAATCGCTATAATGGCACATGACTAGTGGGATTTGGCCGATAATGCATCGATAAGGCCTTTTTTGGGAAACGGCCAAATCTGGTTGTTTCTATGGTCATAAAATGGCCATAGATTTGGCTGTGAAACGGCCATGGATTTATGATCCATGGTCAGAAATGGCTTTGCCAGCGCACGACCATATACGACCAGTCGTGTGCCATTCCGTTAACTATCGGTGACGGTCGACGGCGGTGGTTGGCTACTGGTAATGGCTTGGAATGGGTGGTAGGGCTGTAAACGAGCTGAGCTGAGTCAAGCTTTTGACTTATCGAACTCGGCTCATTTGCTACAGGATTGAGCTCGAGCCTGTCAAGTCAGAGAAAAGGGACTCGAACCCAAGCTCAATTGAGTTCAAGCTGCTTGACTTCATCTTCATCATTTTCTTCGTCTTTATCTCCATCATCTTCATCTTTGTCTTCGTCTTTATCTCATCTTTGTCTTCGTCTTCGTCTCATCTTCATCTTCATCTTCATCTTGCAGAGCATTACGAGTTATGCTGCTACCATCTCCATCTTCTTCATCTTCATCATTTTCTTCGTCTTTATCTCCATCATCTTCATCTTCATCTTCATCTCATCTTCGTCTTCATCTCATTTTCATTTTCATCTTCGTCTTCATCTCATCTTCATATTCATCTTGCAAAGCATTACGAGTTGCGCTACTACCATCTCCATCTTCTTCATCT